ATTTAAGTGAAAAGTAAATACATTAAAAATGTTAGGATTTCTCAGTCTGTGAGAAATCAAAACTAAGAAGGAACCTTAAAGGATAAAGGTTAAAGGATATCTACATGACTAACCTGGATATATTTTCCCAGTTGTGGACCTAAAAACTATAGGAAGCTCTCGAAAAATTAGCCCTTGCCATATTACAGGAGGTAGAAAAATGATTGAACACAGAACAAGAGGTTACAGACTGGAAACAAATATAGATTAAAAATTTAGTAAAGTAAAGGTAGGCCCTTGGTGGCATAAGTAATGAACACACTTATCTGCTAACTAAATGATTGGCGGTTTGAGTCCACCAGAAGTGTCTTGGAAGAAAGCTCTTGAGACGTACTTCTGAAAAATCTTCCCTTGGAAACCAGTGCAGCACAGTTCTATTCTGACACACGTGGGATCACCATGAGTTGGAATTGACTCAGTGGCAACTGGTGAGGGTTGAAGTTTTAAATGTGATGTACACTTGTTGGATTGTTTCCACGTGCTAAGCTCTTTATGGCATTAACTCATTTACACTTCATTAAATTTCATAAAAACTTTGTGAAGAAGGTATTCTTGTTTATCCCCATTATGTTGTCATGTGCCCTCGATATACAGATGAGGAAATTCGAGGTTTAGAGAAATTATGAAAATTGTCCAAGGTCATACGTTTCAGAAATGGTAGAGCTGGGTTGATGATCCTTCAGTCACTGGGTATTAGAGAGGAAGGCCCGAGGTGTTTATTTGGAGACCATTATTTTCTTTTTTAGGGTTGCTCCCCTTTAAAAATCACTTGTACTAGATCTAGTGAGCCTTATAAGGAGCTCTGGTGGTGTAGTGCCTAAGGCATTTGACTACTAACCAGAAGGTTGGTGGTTCCAATCCACTAGCCACTCCTTGGAAGAAAGACTGGGAAATCTACTTCCGTGAAGGTTTACCACCTTGGAAACCCAAAAGGGGGTCGCTGTGAGTTGGAATCGACTTGATGCCAGTGAATTTGGTTTTGTTTGAGTGAACCTCATATGACAGTTCTTATATCTTATTTTTCTTTATTCTCTCAAGTAGGTCACTATCATACAATCTTAGGATGGAGACTTTGAAAGAGATTGGCTGGACTGCATCCTGTCCTCTGAGAGACAGAAAACAGAGAAAGATCTTCTTGTTTAAGAATGTTGTTGTTATGTGCCGTCGAGTCAGACCCGACTCATAGCAACCTTCTTGGGTTTCCGAGGCAGTATCACTACAGAAGTAGATTGCCCCATCTTCCTTCCGAGGAGTGGCTGGTGGTGTTTAAGAATAGTGGGAAGTTATTTTTCCTAATCTTGGATATCTCCAGGAAGACCTTCACTAAAAGCAAAAACTGTCCTTTAATAGACTATTTTAGTATATATTGTGGCAGTCAGGAAGTTTATGTGAAGCCTAAAACCTCACTGATACAATTTAAGCCCTTTTTTTTGTTTTGTTTTTTAGCGGGAAATTAATGACTCATTACTACTTAATATTCCTTTATTCTCTCAAGCCAGCCTGGGAGGTTCATTCAGTAGTGTTTATTGAGCACCTACTATGTGCAGGCACTATATGAGGCTGTGCTCTCTCTGATCTTGGATGGCTCTAAGAATAACACTAGACAACTCAATTGTCCTAACTAGTTTAGTCAGATTAATATTATTTTAATAATTTTGATTTGTCACTAATTATTATTTAATCCCACAACAACCCTGTGAGATAGTATTGTCATATTTGTTTTACAGATGAGGAGATAATGCTTAGCAATCTTAAGAAACACACCCATGTCACACCAAAGGGCCTTGACCATATATACACCTAAAGAGAATAATAATAGTTTTAAGATAGTACTTAACAGTTAACAGTGCTTTTGCTTATATTATCTCACTTAATTTTCCAAACATGGTGGTAGTTATTACTGTACTCATATACAATAATAATCGCTTTTATTTGTTATGTACTTAATATGTACTATAAAAGTACCAGATTCCTTATCAGGTAAGGCTTAGTCCATATAATACAACAACTCTAATAAGTATTGTTTTCCCATTTTACAGATGAGCCTCTGAGGCCTGTGTGACTTGCTCAGCACATAGGGAGGTTTGATTCAAGCCTAGGTTTCTCTGCTCAGCCAGTACACATGACAACTTTGCTATTCACTTTACCATATCATGATGCCTCATTTTCCAGATAAGGAAGCTCAGGTACAGAGTTCGCTAACCCAGCTGAGGTCATACAGCTTATAAGTAGCAGAACTACTTTCTTTAGAAACTCCATTTGTTTCTACCATCCTGGGCCGCCTCTCTGCCCAAGGACAACTATACGGCTGTAGCCTACATCCAAGAAAATACACTGGTTTCTTTATGATACGTTTAAACTTGAATCATTTTAGTCATTCTTCACACTTCTTTTATTTTCTTCCCCCATATTTTGGCAGAGATCTCTGTAAGTAATGACATGTTACTGTAACAAAATCAAAACTAAACTCATTGCTGCCGAGTCGGATCTGACTCATAGTGACCCTCCTTGGGTTTCCAAGGTGGTATCGTTGTGGAAGTAGATTGCCCCATCTTCCTTCCAAGGAGTGGCTGGTGGGTTTGAACTGCCAGCCTTCTGGTTAGCAGTCAGATGCTTTAGGCATTATGCCATCAGAGCATATTAATACAGAGGAGTGGATATATTGGTTAAACTGCTTGATCAGAAAGTCGTCTGGTGAGGTTATCTTAGTACTGGAATTCAGATTTGGGTCCGATGTGCCTAACTCATTAAGTTATGTGGTTCTTGCTCTTTTTATCTATTGAAAATGTTGCTTGAGAAAAGGCCTTGCCTTTATGAGATTGTTTTCCGGTGCTGTAAGGAAAGAATCTCTTTCCATCTGAAGATCATTTACCATTTCTCCGAATAGCGAATTACATTAATGGTGCAAGGCAAGGAAGTATGTCAATATCAGATATAACAAGGACCAGTCTCTCAGATTTGAAATGTTGCCAATCTGTACAATCTCAGCCTTGAAGGTTTTAAAGCACAGAAGTTTATTACTTTAATGATGAAGTATCCTTCAGATTGTTAAGGAAAATTTTGTTAACCATTTGCAGTACTACACGATTATTCAAATTGCAAACTCAGGTAAATGTTCCTCAAAATTGAATTAGGTGAAATTTTTCTAAATGTCTGTTGATGTCTATAAACATCAGATAAATATCCAGATGTGTTTAATTATTTCTACTCAAGGAAATATGTTCTATTTAGACAGTCTTTAAATAAATTATTTCTGAATTGAATAAATAAACAAGAAATAGCTGAAACTAAACAGCTTCGACTATTTAGAAAAATAAAGATTTGAAAGGAAGGATCATCTGAGAAAAACCCATCTTGTTATCATTTTTAGTTTTAGAAATAACCTGGATTCACTATTCAAATTAGTAATTGTTTTAAAACTAAGTTTTTCATTTTCAAAGGATGACAGGTGATATGAGAATAACTCCAAATCTATTCCAAATGTATTAACTCAAGTTCAGAGTTGTTTTTACCGTGGAACTATTCCTGTGGCACTAAGTTTTCAGAAAGGACAAGAGGGAATACTGGTTGAGTGTCTGCTCTGTGACAGTCCTCCCTCCACAGTTTCCTCATGCAATGCTTACATCCCTGGGATTCAGGTAGTATTGATCTCATTTTTACAGATGAGGAAACTGAGGCCCAGAGAAGCTGAGTAATGAACTCAAGATCACACAGCTAAAAAATAGAAGTTTCAGAACTTGACCCCAATTCTGTGCATCTGAAAGTCCATGCTTATTCTAATATACCACGCTGTTCTGTGAACAGCCTGAGAAGTCAGAATTTTAAAAAGCAACAAAAAAGCATAGAAAGCATTCATTAAGAGAAATTTGCTTATGATTCTGCTTGAGTAGCCCTTAAATAAGAAGAAAACAGTTGGAAATACACACTTTCCCCCCTGGAAAGGTACAGCAAACTTATCTTTTTTCTTATGTAGATGGAAGTTCTTTTGAGAGATCTGCTTTGTCTTGAGTTTGAACCTCCAAGAAACCCCACAGAGATACATAAAAGATATTGTTCATTAGTGTTCAGCAACTAACCCTGGCCCAAGTTTTTTTGTTACCACCACGCATATAGGTAGCACTGAACCACATGCCAAACATGAGACATCTTTTAAACAAATTCTAATAGGATTAAAAACATTTCCCCATTTTCCTGTGTTGGTTTATTTATTTATTTATTTTTACTATTAGAAACTCATATGCTTAACATTGATACAGGATGGTGACAAAGCTTTTCAGTCCTTAATGGTAGTTGCTTTTGAAATTAAGTTACATCTCAAAGGTTATTTTCTGATTTAGCCTTAGCTTCAGAAAAATACACACTGCTCTCCTCCTTTCTATTCTTCTTACTTGCCGCACACTGTGTTCTGCACCTCTGTATTTCTTAAGCCCCTATGTTCATAAGTGCCATCCCAGTCAGCTGCCTGGGAAAAAAGTGGGCTGGGTTCATGCAGTTTAAAAACTTCAAATGACATCTGAAAGAGAGTAGCAGAATATACAGGAGTAAAAGGCACAGTCTACATATTCTTTAACCAAGTGAATTGTTCCAACATATTTCTAACTTAAAAAAAAAAAAGTAATACATGCTCATTGGAGGAATCTTAGAAAATAAATAAAATATAGAACCACTTTATACAGATAACCAAAGCAGATTGTTTTCTCAATGACTGTTAGACTTTCCAAATAGAAATATTTATGTGTGAGAGAGAACAAGAGTTCTTACGCATGATCCATTTTGTTGCTTTAGAGTCTAGAGAGCTTAGTGCTAATGGTACAAGGCCTGGGGAGTGGGAGGGGTTTGTAGGAATGGAATAGTGATTCCTTATGTATGCTTCTTTTTTTCTGCTTGATTCCACATTTTGGGTTGCATATGTCTAAGGCTGTGGTTGCTGGTATACTAAAGATTTTTCTTCTTTTTCTCAGACCCCAGGCAGGCCCAGTCTTCCCCACCGTGGTCCTATGACCAGTCTTACCCATCCTACCTGAGCCAGATGACATCTCCATCCATTCACTCCACCACTCCGCTGTCTTCCACACGGGGCACTGGGCTTCCTGCCATCACCGACGTGCCCAGGCGCATTTCAGGTAAAGATTGCGTTTTAACTAAAAACCCAACCCCCATACAGGGGCCAGGGAGCACGGGATGGGTCGAGGCTCTTACCTACACCCAGAGTAACTCTCTCTAAGAAGCATGTGGGCAAGGGTATGCTAATCAGGAAACCAGGTTTTCTGAATTAATAGGGTTATCAAACATTTGAACATTTTAAGTCAAGAGACTGAAAATCCACTAAGGGTGGCATTATTTTCTTAAGATGCTATTTAATGCTACCCGGTTTTGGCGTGTGTTCTCCATGATGGGCACAATCTCATAACTAGGGCTTTCTCCAGACGGTCTTATGCCAGGCCTTCCTCTGCTTGTGTTCCTTTCTTTTCCTAACTTCTGCCTGTAAACCAAATTACAGATTGGTGGCACAGCCCTCCTTTTCTAAAGACTGATTGCTTTAAATCCCAGGAGTCCAACTTAGCCAGTTCCCAGAGAGAGCACCTGTAAACGTAAGATCCTCATCAGAAATTAGTCATTAACTGCACTGAGGCCTGGGAGAGTCAGTAAAAGCAACACATGGCCTCTGAGTGGTCAAATCAAAGAATCAGCCTTGCCACGAAGCAAGAAGTACACTAATGTTGCTACCACTGTAGCAGCTCCATGCTCACACTTCTCCTATTCAGAAGATACCACAAAAACCTGTGGGTCGTGGAGGAAGTGTGTGTGGTAAATGATCATGGAGAATTCATCACAGAGAGCCGGAAAGTGTCCTTGAAGACTTCAGACTGACAAGTAGAGAAAAACTAAAGGGCCTTGGCCAACCACATGAATCTTGTGAATAATGATTGGAAGAAAAAAAATCGGTAAACCCTTACCATATAACCTACAACATTGCCCCCCTCCATTGAAGAAAAAAAAAAAAAAAGACAGAGACCCACCAAGGCACATACCATTGGATCCCATGTTTGTCAGACACTTTTCTTAGCGTTCGGGCCCCATACACCTGTTTGACTCCTGGCCAGGTTAATGCCTTTCTCTCTTTCTCTTTGTGTCTCTGTGTCTGTTTCTCTCCCTCTCTCATTTTCTGCAAAGCTCGAAGCCGTTACTCACTCCGCTGAGTTGCATCACTGACAAGCTGAAGCTCCACCAGCAGGCTTGCAGGTTTTGATTAGTTCAGACTCCTTTATTTCTTTCAACTTGGGAGGAGGGAAGGCTTTGTTTCTCAAGCAAATAGCAGGAAAGGGCTCTCTGGTCCTAGTGCCTTCCTATTTTCTGCAGCAGATGGATTCTCATGGGGGTGAGTAGGGAAAGAAGAGGGTGGAGGGGGAACTGCAAGTTTCCTTGAAAAACCATGTTGGCACATTTTGTTATGACTGCTATTATTATTTTTTATGAATCACATGATATTTATTGGGGAATTATACAGAGTACAATATTTTAGTTATGATTTCCCTCTACTGGAATCACTATCTCCTTTAGGCCAACATCAGTGAAAGTACATGGAAAAGAATGAGTTAGACATACAGGAGAAAGTGCGAGCTGATGTGAGGTAGAAGGCACAATGTTTGATGGTATTGAGTTAGTTTGGTCTTTCCTTCCATATTTCAAACTGACAGTTCGTTTTGTTTCACGTAGAGCCAAGATGACACTTTGTCAGAACGGACTTGTAGAAACTTGCTTCTGATTTAGAGTCTCCTGGTGCTCCCATTGCCCAATCCTCTGTGGCTGAAACATTTGCTCTTTGTGCTCTTAGAGTACCAAGGGAAAAACCTCAGGGAGGAATTGCAGTGTTAGAGATACACACCTATAGGATTTTCTTAGTAGGGTGTCTTCCTGTGTGAATACAGCAGGAAAACCCTGAGAAAGAACCTTGGAAATAACACTGGAAAAGTGCATAAAGGGGTAGTGCTTATTGCTCATCATTCACAACTAGATTGTTCTGAGTGAATTTACTGATGATTACTTAAAACATGTCACAGGAATGGATTACCCAATAAGCAAGGTAAGCACAGACTTATTTGTGCTTACCTATTGACCTGTAGTGAGCAATTTCACATGCGTTCCCCACATCTTTGATCTTTAATGTGGTGAAAACCATCTGAAACCATTGACAACAGAATAAGTAAGCACGAATAAGCCTATGCTTACCCGTTCTTACTGGGTACTGTCAGGGATTGTAAATTTGAAGAGAAATTCTGAAGGATTCTGAGATTTTGAAGGATTCTGTAGGAAGGTGCTCTTGGGATTGGGAGAAATACAGATGCCGGCCATACCTCGAAGTAGAATCTTTGATGTGGTGAAAAGTTCTGAAACTGTTTACCATCAATTAGTAAGTAAGCATAAGTAAACCCATGCATACCTCTGTTCCACAGAGGAGGAGGTAGGAGTAGACACTGGTTCATTTTCCAGCCCTATGCTCACCTGAAACCAAAGGTGGGAAGGAACTTTTGAACCTTTGCATACAGGCAATTCGTACTTACCCCTTAATGTTATATAAATTTGCCCTCATTTTAAAACCATTGAACCAACCCTACTTCCAACAAATTCTTCATCACAACCCACCTTTGTTTTCTGCACCTGTAGCTTTTAAATCATTGAAAAGGCTTAGAGCTTCTCTTGAACTGAAAAAAAAAAAAAAAAAAAAGAACAAAAACCCAAACCCACTGCTGTGGAGTTGGATCTGACTGATAGCGACCCCTCCTTGGGTTTTTGAGGCAGTATCACTACGGAAGTAGATTACCCAATTTTCCTTCCGAGGAGTAGCTGGTGGGTTTGAATTACCAGCCTTCTGGTTACAAGTCAAATGCCTTAGGTACTACACCATCAGAGCGCCTGCTCTTGAAGTAAAATAAGGCTAAATAAGAACTGTATACACCTGTTCTGACTTACCTACAAACTCAAAGACATACGTAGGAATGGATCTCATAATCTGGGGCCTGCCTGTAGTTTTAAACTGAGTTTAGTCCAGTTTTTACCTCCTGCCCCAAACATTTCTGTGAGTTGTTACTGGTGAAGTAATGTGGTGCCAGGGTGGGAGGTTCTGTATAAACAATAAAGAGAACAGAAAATCCCTCTTGTCAGCATGTAGGGAAATAGCAAGAAACAACTAGACTTGGACTGTCAGGGAACTGGAGGAGCCCTGATTGGCCTGACCTTGTTCTTGGTGTGGGGCTGTGCCAAGATACAGAGCTCTGCCTGATGGACTCATGGGATCAAGTCATTTGGAGTAAGCACCATTTTCACTGGGAAGTGGTCCTGGACCTCTCCCTGAGGAGGAGCCCATCTGTATGTTCTGAAGTGCCAAGCTTCATAGTCCTATCTTATTATTCTCTTCAGTATCTAAAACTCTCCCTAGAGTCTGAAACATAGAGCCATCCTACAAATGAGACATAATGGGGTGGATTTTTTGGTTTGCTTGTGGTTTATTTATTTATTTTTGGTGCTTTAGTAACTAAAACCCTTTGGGTTGAGTCCATTTCTGTGCCCCTCGTCTTCATTATATAAGGGACCCTCATGGCTCAATAGTTAAGTGCTAAGCTGCTAACCAAAAGGTTGGCAGTTCAAACCCACTGGTGGTTCCACAAGTGAAAAGACCCAGTGATTTGCTTCTGTAAAGATTTATAGCCTAGGAAACCCTAAGCAGAAGATCTCCTCTGCCCTATAGGGTCTCTATGAGTTGGAACTGATGCTACATAACAACAGTCTCCATTATACTCTATGCCAAATAATGCTATTTTCCTGTAGTTACATGATTAACTAAAATATTAGTCCCCATCCCCACCCCGAAGCAGACCTGTGGTCAGGTTCTTAGATGCTTTCTAGAACAGTTCATGTTTTTGTATAGAGGAATCAGTTCTCATCCTCCTATCTACAGGGATACACAAAATATTCTCCTACAATCTTGAGTGAGACAGAATAAAATTCATCACTGTCCTGTAGTAGAATTGAAGGTTCAGATCTAGGTTTGAATCCTAACTCATACACTTTCCAGCAAGTTTTTTACCCATCTGAAACTTAGTCTTAAGTATTTGTAAAGTAGAGACATAATGCTTACCTTTTAAGATTATGATGAGGATTAGATTAAATGAGGGACTTTATGTAAAATGCTTATAACAGACCTGAGACACAGTATCTGCCAAATAGATTATAGTTGTTACTATTAAGCTAAAACTTTTGTGGAAAAATTATGTATCTATACATAATTTGCAGGCAAGCCCTGGTTTAAATGAATCAAGTAAAAATCTGAAATTTTAACAGGGATTATTTCCTTTTCAAATAGATCACTAGGGAGCATACTTAAAATATAAAACCCTTAGAATATTTAAATAAATTAATGCTTATTAATATAGGCAGTCCTCAGATTATGAATGAGTTCCATTCCTAAGTCTATCTTCAAGTTGAATTTGTACATAAATTGAAACAGGGACAGTTCATATCTAATATCAATTAGTCAAATGTTTGTCTTAGTATCTATAATATACCTTTTTATGCATATAAAGCAGTAAGAAACACTTCTAGACACACTAAAACATCTTTAATAATACAGTAATAATAGTAATAATCTTTTGATGGGCATCACAAAGTAACACCAGTTTATTATTATGAACCATAGTATATATCTTGAGTTTTTAATATGAGAGACTTTCTGGGCATTGGTTCATAACTATGGGTTGTGCATCGCTCAACCATTTGTAAGCTGGGGACCGTCTGCAGTCACGTTTGTAAGCTGGGGACCGTCTGCAGTCAGAGATAGTACTCATAAAGCACTTAACACAGTGCCTGTCACAAAAATGTACTCAATAAATGTTCACCATTATTATTATCATTCTGCAGATTTTAAATGAATATTTACAGAGCTAAAAGCATTAGGAACCACTCAAAAAAATTTAATAGAACATTAAGAGCAAATAACTATTCAGTTATAATGTCAGAAAATAGAAAATGTTCCTGAATTATATTTGTATGCAACCAGGCATAATGATGTTCTGCACTAAAGGATCAAAGGAATAAAAGTGACCCGAAAGAACTGTTTCTAACGAAA